ACAAGAGAGATGCCAAGGTGGCTGCCATTAAACAAACAAAATAACAAACATTGACAAGGATGTGGAGAAGGTAAAAGCAATGCTGGTGAGAAATAATAATGGTGCAGCTGTTAGGAAACAGTATATGATGGGTCCTCAAAAAATTAAAAATTATTCACCATCGGACACAGCAACTTCACTTGTGTGCATAAATCCAAAAGAAATAAAAGCAAAATCTCAAAGACATTTCTACATTTGTTTATGGCAGGATTATTCACAAAAGCTAAGAGGCTGGAAACAACATAAATGTGTCCTACAGAAGAATAGAATTATAAAACACATGCATATAAAAATATTATTTAGCCTTAAAAAAAGGAAGGAAATTCTGGTACATATAACATGGCTGACCTCTAAGGACATAAAAAATAAGCCACATGAGGTAGTCAAACTCAAAGAAACATCAAATAGGCTGATGGCTGCTAGGAATTGGGGGAAGCAGAGAAAAGGGAATTGTTACTTAGTGGGCACAGTTTCCATTTTATAAGATAAAAAAATATTGGAGATATGTTTAGATTGTTTTGCAACCTATTTCTTTTTTGGGTGAGAGCTATTGGGGATTAAACCTAGGGGCACTTTATCACTGAGCTACATCCCCAGTCCTTCTTGTTTTTTGAGACAGAATCTCACTAAATTTCCCAGGCTGGCCTCCAACTTGTGAGCCTCTTGCTAAGCCTCTTTCTAAGTTGCTGGAATTACAAGTGTGTGCCATCACATACGGAAATATGAACATACTGAGCTGCACATTTAAAAATGGTTAAGCAGGGCTTGGGCTCAGTGGTAGAGCACTCACCTGGCACACGTGAGGCACTGGGTTCGATCCTCAGCACCACATAAAAATAAAATAAAGATATTGTGTCCATCTACAACTAAAAAATACATATTAAAAAAATAATAAACATGGCTAAGCACTCAAATGCATTCCTACACATGAGTGAGGAATTCACTGAAAGAGAATTAGGAAAACTGCCCCATTCACAATAGCCACACACACACAAAAAATTGGGTTATCAATCTAACAAAAGAAGTGAAAGACCTCTACAATGAAAACTATAGAACACTAAAGAAAGAAATTGAGGAAGACCTCAGAAGATTTCTCATGCTCTTAGATTACGCTGAAGCAGAAGGATCTCAAGTTCAATGCCAGCCTCAGAAAAAGTGAGGCACTAAGCAACTCAGTGAGACTCTGTCTCTAAATAAAATACAAAATAGGGCTGAGGATGTGGCTCAGTGGATCAGTGGCTGAGAGCCGCTGAGTTCAATCCCTGGTACAAAAAAAAAAATAAAAAAAATCCCAATGATATTCTTCATAGAAACAGAAAAAGCAATCATAAAATTCATTTACAAAAAATAAGAGACCCAGAATAGCCAAAGCAATCTTTAGCAAGAAAAATGAAACAGGAGGCACCACAATACCAAACCTTAAATTATACTACAGAGCCATAGTAACAAAAACAGCATGGTGTTGGCATCAAAACAGACATGTAGACCAATGAGAATAGAAGACACAGAGACAAACCCACATAAATACAGTTATCTCATAGTAGACAAAGTCACCAAAAAAAAAAAAAAAAATACATCAGAAAAAAGACAGATTCTTCAACAAATGGTGCTGAGAAAACTGGAAATTCATATGTAACAAAATGAAATTAAACGTCTATCTCTCACCCTGCACAAAAATCAACTCAAAGTGGACCAAAGACAGGCACTAGAACAGAGACCCTGGGCCTAATGGAAGAAAAAGTAGGCTCAAGTCTTCACCATGTCAGCTTAGGAACTGACTTAGGAAGTCAACTTAACAAGACTCCTAAAGTGCAAGAAGTAAAATCAAAAATCAATAAATGGGATGGACTCAAACTAAAAAGTTTCTTCTCAGCAAAGGAAACAATCAATAATGTGGAGAGCCTACAAAATGGGAAAAAAATCTTTACCACATGCACCTCAGATAGAGCATTAATTTCCATAAGAACTCAAAAAACTCAACACCAAAAACAACAAACAACCCAATCAATGGGCTAAGGAACTGAACCGACACTTTGCAGGAAGAAGAAATACAATCAACCAACAAATATATGAAAAAATGTTCAACATTTTTAGTAATTTGAGAAATGCAAATCAAAACTGAGATTCCAATTCACCCCAGTCAGAATGACAATCATCAAGAATACAAGAAACAAAAAATGTTGGCAAGGATGTGGAGGGAAAGGGAAAAGGTACACTCAGACATTGCTAGTGTGACTGCAAATTGGTGCAATCACTATAGAAAGCAGTATGGAAATTTCCTAAGAAAACTTGGAAAGAAATCACCATTTGATCCAGTTATCACACTCCTCGGTCTATATCCAAAGGACTTAAAATCAGCATACTACAGTGATACAGCTTAATTCACAATATCTAAATTATGGAACCAACCTAGGTGCCCTTCAACAGATGAATGGATAAAGAAATTGTGATAGATATTCCCAATGAAATATTGCTCAGTCTCAAAGAAGAATGAAATTATGGCATTTGCCAGTAAATACAAGGATGTGGAGAATAATATGCTAAGTGTAATAAGTCAATCCAAAGAACTAAAGGCCGAATGTTTTCTCTGATACGTGGATGTTAATTCACAATAGGGGAGGGGACAGAGGTATTTTGAACTAGACAAAGGGAGTGAAGGGGGTGAGGGGATTTTGGGAGAGGAATGATAGTAGAATGAATCAGCCATTATTACTCCATGAGCATATATGATTATGTGACCTGTGTAACTCTATATAACATACAACCAGATGAATGAGAAGTTATACTCCACTTATGTATGATGTGCCAAATGCATTCTGTCATGTATAATTAATCAGAACAAATTAAAAATATGTAAAAATGGTTAAGATGATAAATTTTAAGTTATATATTTTATTATAAAAATTGTTTCAAAAGTTCAAATTGGGTTATGTGATACCATTAGCTTCCTTTACAAAATGTTTTGTATATTTTTTGTACCAGAACATGTGCATTGTTGGAGTCTGTAAACAAGTCAAAATAACACCTGGCATTTTGCCAGGGGAATGTTAGAGTTCGTAAACAAGTCTGGATGGTGCCTGGCAAAATGCCAGAGGGAGTGGTTTGAGAAGTAACAAAAGCGAGCCATTAAGTGTGGAGATTCCTTATTGGTTGACTGATGTATCTAGTTTATGCTAATTAGATAAGCTGTGTGGAATGTATAAATACTGCTCCTGTCCTGCAATAAACGGCTCCTATTCCTGCTGTATCAACGTACACAAGTTGTTCGTCACCCCCCAGTTATTTTGCTGCAGCCGGACTGCGGCAGTGCATCTTTTTCTTTTTTAGTGACTATTTACTAGTACAGTCATACCATTAATTATTAAACATGGCAATTAAAATATTTCCAATTTTTTTTTTCACAATTGCCAATCTCACTTCAACACTTATTCTCTGACCTTATCTTTCCATACTTGTTTAAGCCATTGCCTGAAATTTATTAAAAATTCTAAAGACTGTTCTTGCAAAAAGAAGTATCAGGGCAAGATAAGACAGTTATAAAATCCAATTTAAATTGCTGCCATTAATATTATTGAAGACCATACAAGTCTTATAGATTTTGACTCAGTGATTATATTTTAAGACAAATATTCAAAGGAAGAAAAATGCTACATCTTCGAATATTCTACATCTTTTAAACAATCTTTATAAAATATATATAACTTAAAATTTATCATCTTAACCATTTTTATATATTTTTTAATTTGTTTTTAAATGGCACTGGGGATTGAACCCAGAAGAACCTGACACTGAGCTACTTCCCTACTTTCTTTTTCTTTCTTTCTTTTTTTTTTTTTTTTTGAGACAGGGTCTCATTAAGTTGCCCAAGCTAGCCTCAAACTTGCAATCCTCCTGCTTCAAGCCTCCTGAGTAGCTGGGATGAGAGGTATTACAAATCACGTCTAGATACAGTTCTGTTATTATCTCTAACACCAAAAAATAAATAAATAAAAATAATCTAACTACCCATTAATAAAAAAATTAAAAGGAAATCAAGTAACACCTTTATGGATATAAGATGGTAATTAGGAAGACCATTAAATAGGTTTACTATTCACAATCAAAATACACACACAAAAACTTTAACTAAGCTATAATCCAGAAATTGTGATCAAGTAGCTGGCTCAGGGTCCTAAACAACATCCCAGAGAGATGTTTTATGTATACAACTGTGAAATTAGAATTTGAATATCTTTAGGCATGGGGAAAATTCTCATTCACTGCAGTCTACATTACCCTTTAATACTTTATAACCAATGCTTCACCTATTCAGGAATCTGCATTTTTTTTAAAAAAACATACAATTGAACCCAGTGCTTTAGGCATGCTAGGCAAGCACTATACCACTACGCTACATCACCAACTCAGAATCAGTGTTCTTTTTTGGGGGTGGTGAGGGGGAGGTAGCAGGGATCGAAATCAGGGCACTTGACCACTAAGCTACATCCCCAGCCCCGTTTTGTATTTTATTTAGAGACAGGTTCTTACTACGTTGCTTAGCTCCTCGATTTTGCTGAGGCTGCCTTTGAACTCAAGATCCTCTTGCCTCAGCCTCCAGAGCCGCTGGGATTACAGGGGGTACACCACTGTGCCCATCCAACAGCATTCTTGATCCCTGAACATGGACTAAAAGGGACTCAGAAAGGTAAACACTGATCTCCTGATTGCATTTTTCTTTTGGGAGAGGTAGTGCCTCCTCTTATTCTTAAACCAGTTTAGTTGATATGTATGATGTAAGTGATATAGAAATATATAGTATGGTGATATTCCCCCCAGATTGGTTTTTAATGCCAACTTGTGCAGTCTCAGACTAAAAGAAACTAAATTGTGAATTTACAATAGCACAGAAGAAACATAGATGTTTTATCCACATACCCCAGATGCTATTCACACTTGTTTCACAAGCCTCTGGCGTCACTCACCTAGTGACTTGCTTGTGGAAGTCTGTAAGTTGTTTGTGTGTCACTGTAACAGCTCCCACAGTTGTCTCCTTTGGCAAACCTTTCAAAGAATTCTCTAACCATCGACAAAAGGTCTGTATAAGGAAAAAGGATAAGAATCTTAAAAGGAGACAGGGTTTACATGTCTGAGACTTTATAGGTATAGGCAAAACCCCACAGGTTTTCCTTAGCATTTTCCCCCTAGACTTGAAACAAGTAAAGGAATTAACAAAGCACTATCTTTATGCCCTCAAATGCTCTGGGTTGATATAGTCTGCAAATGCAAGCCTAGACTTCCCTTCAGAGGGGGAGCAGGCATGATTTCAGATGAAGTCCTTCTACACTTTGGAAGTGAAGCCTTTTCTATATAAGCCATTATTCTGTTTCTGTCATTAAACTTACACAATATTTAAAAAATGAACAGATGTCACAAAACTCCAGAGCCTATATAGAAAAAAATTCAAAATAAAATTTCAGATATAAGGAAGAGTAGGAACAAAATGTATACAAAATAAGTAAAGGGACAGTTCACTTAGGTCAACTGTGTACTTTCCTAAAGAGCTTTTTTATCAATATTAAAAATATTATCCTGTGGTCAGTACTCAAACTACTTGGACATAACTGTATAATGCTCTGGCTAGATACATCAGTAAGAAATAATACAATTCCCCAAAGTGATTGAATATTGGAATAATCTGCAACTCACTATAACTGATACATGGGATCTCTTATGAGGGAAAAAATTTCTTACTGGCTAGTCACATATGCTTTCAATGCTTTGTACTTACTTCTGGTAATACACAGTACAAACCTCATGAGAGGTTTATTTAGACATAAATATGATAATAAGTTATTTTTCTTCTCTGGGCCCTTTCAACTACCAATTAAACTTAGCAATATGCCTAAATTTGGTTCTAAGGGACATATGCAAAAGGGCTTGTTTCGAAGTTATGGTAGGCTTCAAGGAACCAAAGTCTATTAAGTTTAAGAATTAGGAGAATAGGTTGCTTATGAAAGAATCTTACCGGTCTGTCAACCTGCATGATCTCCCAGAGCACTTCAGCCACATCTGGTAAGGTATAGGGGGGGAGACAAAAGCAACATGTATGGAGCAGCTGGCTTACAAGCTGTTGTCCAAGCTGGTTCATCACCTGTCCAATTAGTTCTTTTCGTAATTCAAAGTCTTCTTCATGCTGTAACAAAGCAGGAGTGTCAGATGACTGTGGTTCTAGTTTCCACTTTCCAAAGAACAAGAACTCACTCTCCATTAGTCTAGTAAGTACTCTTTACCATGGAAAAAAGTACATTATGTGACAGCTGAATTCATAATGACCATTAAATATTTTGTCATTAGGAAGAAAATATGAGTTTAATATGAGGGAAATGGAATCATAGGTATCTGATGAGATTAATATTAATTGATTTTTCAGGATTAGAAGGCAGAAGAGAAACAATGGTTAAGAATTAAGATTAGCATTTTTCCCCCGTGAAAAGTAACTCATGTCCTTGTTTTCATCTCCCATGTTCACCTCCCTGTCTTGTTCCTTGCTTATTTCCTTTTAAAATAAACCTTGATTACTTTTTACTTATTAGTTCATTCACATATTTCTTCTTTACTTTCAATCCTACTCAACATCTAGACAAATTTACCTTTGAAAATCTTGTGAACCACTTCACTACATAGCCAAACAGGTTTATTCATTGTCTACTAGCATACTTCATGCTATTCTGACTTTTCCTGATCACAGTTTATATACCAATTAGACTATCCTCCTCTCTAATCCATCAAAGCTCTATCTCTATCTTATGGCTTTAAGTTTCTTCTTTTTAAGACAGTTACCCCAACTAATTTCTGTCCAGAACCTTCCCTATTCTGACTCATAGCAATCATGACTTTTATCACTCATCTCTATGTCTATTTATCTCTTCAACTAGACACCAAATATTTTGGAAACAGGGACAGTTTTAGACTGCTTTGTCTACAAGATGCCTAAGGCACTTAGCACAGCTGCCTTAGATCTGGAGTTAATAATCCAGGGGGTGAATGATCAACTATGATATATGACTGGTAATACAGATCAAATATGGACCTACTAGCATACTGGTTTTCCCCTAAAAAGTGAGGAAGAGATGATAATCTGTTAAGTAGGAAAGGTACAATGTTTATACTTACATCATTGGCTACCCCTGTATGGATGAGGTCTCGTAGGAACCTCATGACACTACAGTTGGCATCCCGGTGATCCAGGGTAGTAGAGGCAATGGCCCACTGTAAGATTGGGATGACTACTTGGCTCCTCAGTAAGGTGACAGGGCTACGCTGAATAAACCTGTTATGGAAAGAGAGGCTGGATATAATAAATGGTGAGATTAGGCTACAAAAAAGCAAGCAGGGTAAAGGATAAAAAAACATGAAGATACCAAAAAGATCAACTGTTGCTATAATTGTAGGGAGGAAGGAATAAATACAGCACAGAAGATTTTTAGGCAGTGAAAATGCTATAATGGTGGATAGTTTTTTTAAAACTCACAAAATGGGTACACCAAAAGTAAACCCTAATGTAAACTATGAACTTTGGGCAATGATGTGTGAATGCAGGTTCACTGATTATAACAAATGGCCCACTCTAGAGGGGAATGCTAATAGAGGAGGCTATGTTTGCTTGTTTGGGACAGAGAAACTGGAGGAATATGGGAATTCTATACTTAGTTTACTCAGTTTTGCTGTGAACCTAAAACTGCTCTTTAAAAAATATTTATTGGAAACAAAAAGGCAAGAAAGGGGCCATATTTTAGATTAGCATATGAAAAGACATGTTGCCAAACTCAATTTCCAATTAAGACTTTGAAGTAGCTTCAAAGATCAGTACAAAAGAGCCTCAACACATTAGAATAGCATTTCCCAAACTATATTCTATAGAACACCAGTTTCCAGGATGTCAATAAGAATTCCTCAAAAACAAGTTGTGTGTTCAATTTGGTTGGAAAATGCTGAATTTTTAAAGTAGTTTTGCTTGAGTTTGGGGGTTTTTTTGTTTGTTTGTTTTAAATTACCACAAGATTTTACCAATTGTTTGTGAGACGGTGGTCTCACTAAATTTCCCAGGTTGATCTTAAACTTGAGATTCCCCTACCCAAGTCTCCCAAGTATTACATGTGTGCAACCACCATCCAGATTATGGAAGATGAGAAGTATCAAGTAGAAATACATACATACATACATATATATATATATATATATATATATATATATATATATTTTTTTTTTTTTTTGGACCATGCTAGGGATTGAACCCAGGGCCTCACGCATGCTAGGCAAGCATTCTACCACTTAGCTATATTTCCTCATCTCCTGTTCTTTCAGATTCTTTATTGTACAGGAAGAATTTTTTTTAAAGAATACAGTATGTTCTGAATTTACTTCACCACATGCAAAGAGTTTTCCAAGAAAGATATCCTGGTAAAACAGAGCTTGACTGCCTGTCCAATAATTCTTTTATCAATTCACAAATAAGGTTTTGTTTTGTTTTTTAAACCTGTCCAAAAACCAACAAAAGCAGTATTCTATATTCAATTCTAAGATGAAATAGTCAAGTCAATAAGACTTCAAATTTTCACTGGTACAATAATTTAAATAGTGGGGCTGAGTGGTAGAGTGCATGCTTAATATGTATGAATCCTTAGGTTCAATCCCGAGCATCTCAAAGTTTTCTTAAAAAATGTATTTAAATTTGTTCACTGACTTGGTTCAAATTCCTTAACAAAGGACCAAGAAGGAATTCAAGCAGAAGGTCAGCAACAATGTTGTCGGTGCTATTGGTAAAAGAAATTTAATGGATAGGAGTGATAGCAGCCTGGTGAGGGTAGAGCTGGACTAGTAACTTCTAAGGCATTTTAAAATCCTAGGAATTCTTTGTTCTGAGATATGATTAAATCTGAAGGATGTTAACCTTCTCAAGGAAAAAGCTGGGATGAAGCATGAAATAATCACAGCGGCATAAACACTATGAGGGTTGTAGAGATTATCTAGTCAAATGTTCATACCAGGCACTTTTTTTTTTCGGATGCTAGGAATTGAAACTAGGGGCCTCCACTGAGCTATACCACACAACCCATACCAAGCACATTTGTGCTTTGTGCATGTTCTCTTCTTCATGGTAGGAACTCAGATATTTTTCTGCCTGCTCTCACCCAGTATATCCTCGTTAACCTCTAGGGATATACCAGTTCACAATTTACCTTTGGGTTATGAATCATTAATCTCTGTTCTCCAATGATCTCATTTTTATAGAGAAGGAAATAACCAGGTGTCAGATGGCAAGATTAAGCAGAGATGGGGATGAGCAATTAATTAAAAAAAAAAAAAAAAAAAAAGTTTAGTTTGTTTTTCAGAAGGACTTGCCTGGTAGCTAGCCTGAACAGGTCATCTACAGTGTCAGGGTGGTTCTGGAGACCATTCTGCTGTTCCAGGAGTTGAAAGGTAGGGATGCACAGTGCCTAGATTAGAACAGTGATTTTAAAAGAAATACTTACAAAGCTACAGCATTCAGACTTGCCAAATATCAACAACAAATACAAAGGGAATAAAAAAGGGCAGCACAGGTGAGAAAAGAAAAGATTGTGATGAGAATCAGATCAGGGAAGCCAGGTATTATGAAGCACGCCTATAATCCCAGTGACTTGGAAGACCGAGGCAGGAGGATTACAAGTTCAAGGCCAGCCTCAGCATTTGGCAAGGCTCTGTGGCCATGTAGTTTAGTGGTAAAGCCCCTGTACTAATTTCAATCCCCAATACTAAGGGGGAAAAAAAGAGAAGAGAGAAAAAGAGGTGGGGTGGGGTAGATGGGATATGAATCAGTAAAAGCAAGAGAAAAAAATTTTCTGATTGAAACTGTTTCCACACATGAAATCTACATTTCAGAAGAGGTAAAAGGTATAGATTTCAGTTCATAAAACCAGAAAAATATCATCTAAGTTTCTGAAAGCAAAGACACTATTTATAAATGTGATCTAGGGAGTAGATGAAGTTTGCATAACAACCCTGAAATGTCAATTTTACGTGAAATAATATCTTGGGAAAAGGAGTAGCACACTTTAATTCCCTTATCTATTGCTCCCAGGTGACTAGAAAGGAGGAAAAAGTAGTATATTAGAGGCATTTTCCAACACCTGCTATGAACTCCAAAACTCTCTCTGTTGCAAAATAAACTAGTTAATTGGCTATTCCAGGCAAGAAATTAAATATACAATTATGTTTGAGTTTGGAAAGCCTATGCTCTCCCACTCCCCTGAAAAACATTCCACTCTATCACAGGAAAACATAAATCATGCAATACTATTTATAATGATTAGTATACTCATGTAGCCAAGTTCGCTCGCTTGCTCTTTCTTTCTGCCAATCTCATCTGTACAGAAAACAAAGAGCAAGTTTCTACATTCCTGTTATGAGGAAATCAACATGCATAGAGGGGAAAACATAAAGCAAAGAAATAAAGACATAGTGAAGAATACAATGCTTGGCTTTTAGGTCCTCTAGGCCTGATGCATCTGCTGTGCCAAGGAAACACATACCTGGAGCATGTCTAGAAGTCCCTGCCGACAGCCTTCTTCCATGCCATACTCATCAACAAGGATACTGCCAAGGTACAGGAAACAGGAATGCTGATGTACATGGTATACATTCACCATCTGCCAAGGGAAAAAAATTCATCAGTTTTGCAAAGGGTGGCGGGGCACACCTGTAATCTCACTTACAAGAGACTGAGGCAGGAAAATACCAAGTTTGAGGCTATCCTTGGCAACTTAGGAAGACCTTGTCTCAAAATAAAAAATTTAAAAGGGCTGAGGATTATAGCTCAGTAGCACAGAGTACTGTCAACCCCCAGGATTAATTAGGAAAAAAAAAAAGTAAAAAAAAAAAAATTAATTAAAATCTTTACCCTTCAAAAAGTATCAACTTAGGTAGCTATTTTCCAGGAAGCAACTGAGAGACAGATTGGTCTCTTTAAGGCAATATAGTAAACCCAGGCCTCAATTTCTCCATAATTTTCAAGTTCTCTATTTAAGAGTTCTTTCAAGCCTTTGATCTTTTATTTTGCTAAAACAATGTTGTAAGAGAATTATCAATATTTCAAACTGGAAGCCATGAGGGAACTCACGTAATATTTGTAAAACTATAACAGTATGTGCTCAAATTTTATTTGCAATATCAACAAGTCTTATTTTTTTAAGACCATATATAAAACCACAATAGCAACAAAAATATCAAATGTCCTTATCTTAGAGAAGACAGTGAAAGAACTCTTTATGTTTATTTTGGGGACTGAATCCAGGGGCACTTTACCACTAAGCTACATGCTTAAGATGCAAAAACTGTTTAAGATTTTGAGTTGATCTTAAACTCATCTATTTTACTTTTTAAGTAAAAAACTTATTTCCAATCAAGATATTTCAATTTCAACAAAATAAAATCTTAGTACAGGGGGTTGTGGCTCAGTTGTAGAGAGCATTTGCCTAGCAAATGCCTCTAGTGTGAGGCACTGGGTTCGATCCTCAGCACCACATAAAAATAAACAAACAAAATAAAGGCATTGTGTCCATCTACAACTAAAAAATAAATAAAATAAAACCTTAGTACAATATATACATTTAAAATATTTGTTTTTACTCGAGACACATTCACCCATTTAAAATGCCATTTGATCTTAGTATATAAATTCAACTATGAGCTTGGTGGGGGCTGAAGGATTTGGTAATTCTTCTACCAGCATATGCCATGGAATGAGCAAGCATAAGATGAGAGCTATGAATCTATTCAGTGTTACAGACTCAAAACTATATGTACTATTAATGAATGACTGAAATCAGGGGTTGGCCAACTTTTATTTTGAAGGGCCACACAGTAAAAAGTATAGGCCTTAACAGGCTGTTCAGTCTTCTAACAACTTACCCATGTAGCACACACACAATCAAAGTCAATAGATAATACTTAAAATGTGGGTACACTGGCAAAGTTTATGGCCCTGCTTTGAGGTTAACATAAATACAAATTACTTAGTGATGTAAGCTGAGGCATCTCATATATTGTAGTTCTAGATGTGAGTGCTTCATACAGAAAATCTTGCTATCATATTGACTTTAAGGATAAAAATAAATAAAATTCATTTTTAACAAATAAGAGATATATGTGAACAACAAATTGTGGTCTATAAAATATCTTTGGACCAAGAAATAGTGAAGTTTGACTTGCTACAGTTTTTCCCCAAGGAAATTAATCTGTAAGTGCTTAGCTTTGGTATATAAGGGCTGAGCATGACTCATTCTCTTCACATAATTTCACACTGGAATGTAGTCAGACTACAATTATACAAAAGAGATTACAAGTTGTTTTCCTTATAGACAACATATCTACCACAGGCACTTATTTCTTTGAAATATTTTTCAGTTTGCACTTAATAAATTGAGAGCATTTTGGCAGTAAAACTTTTTGATCTAAAGGGTCTTATTTCAAATTCTGTGCATTTAACATTCTGCTTTTGTGGAGAACTTACCTGTGTGACTAGTGGTTGCAGCAGGGCTGCAGAACCTTTGCCTACACAGCGAACAGCAAAGCGAAGGCACCTGCAACAACGCTCTACAATCCGATTATCAGCCCGGTGTTTATTTAGAGTCTCGGATAAAACTGGCCATATCTGAGTCAAAAGAACACAAGAAAGAAAATAATCAACATCTAAAAGCTCAAATAGTGCTCCTACGATGGTACTATCTGATTTGGCTTTTAAATAATCTGGATAAAACTTTTTATAAAAATATACATGACCTGATTTTGGCCAGTGTATGCACACACATATGTGCATAGGTTCAACCCATTACCCATCAGTAAAACTTGATCTTTTCTTTTTCTTTTTTTCCTATTACTGGGAATTGAAATCAGAGCCTACCACATGCCAGGCAAGTCCTCTACCATCAAGCTATACCCCCAGCTCTTTTCATATTTTGAGACATGATCTCACTAAATTGCTCAGAATGGGCTCAAATTTGTAATCCTCCTGCCTGAGCCTCCCAAGTCTCTAGATTACAAGGTGTGTGCCACTGCACCCAGCTTATTTTTTTCTTTTTCTTTTTTGGCAGTACTGAGGATCGAACCTAACACTTCATGTATGCTAGTCAAGCGTTCTACCAGTAAGTCACACTCCCAGTCCCTCAATTGCTTCTGAAGAGAAATAAAGTGATTCTGGACTTTTTTTTTTTTTTTTGGGGGGGGGGACTGGGAATTGAACCCAGGGGCACTTTAACCACTGAGCCACACCCCCAGCCACATCTATATTTTATTTAGAGACAGAGTCTTGCCGAGTTGCTGAGGCTGCCTTTGAACTTGTAATCCGCCTGTCTTAGCCTTACCAATCACTAGGATTATAGGCATATGCCACCACAGCTCATAGTGATTCTTTAGGAAGAATATGTTTTGTTTTGTTTTTTAATTTGGTGTGTGTGTGTGGGGGGGCGTGGGGTGGGGATTGAACTGAGGCCCTTGTACATGCTAGGCAAATGTTCTTCATTGAGCTACACCCCCAGCCCAACAACATGTCTAATTTTACTAAAATGCAGATTGCAATTTTCTAAATTACAACCTTCTTCAACCTTCTTGCATGAGAATGAAAATGGGTTACAGAGAAAGAGATGTTTAAGTAGTTTTAGGAAGGCAGAAGACCTTGAACAGAAGACTGGTGTTAAGGAAACAGCATAATTTGATAAACAATTAAGGATATTTAAGATTTATGCAATCCACCTCAAGTCTGAAGCTCACTCCTCACAACTATGACTCCTGATTTTTCACATTTTCCTCAGTGAACAAAAGTACAAGGGAAATATGTTTTAACAGGGAAACTGAAGCCACTAGCTTTGTCAAAAACATTGTGCTAAGATTTATCAGTCCTCCTAGAAATTCTAGGAATCACACACAGTTAAATCTCTATTTCTTCTTTGGCCTTTCAGTGTATTTCCCCACAGCTGGCTTTGTTATCAAATCTAAAATTAAAAGTATCTGGGTGGGGCTTAGGATACAGCTCAGTTGGTAGAGTTCTTGTCTTGCATGTACAAGGCCCTGGATTCAATCCCCAGCACCACAATTTAAAAAAAAAAAAAAGTATTTGGATGACTCTGTTCCTCATTTCACTGAAACTGGAACCCTACAAACAAATTTAATATCCTTATGAATTTAGAAGACAACACCTTATTAACCCAGTTACCCAAAGCCTTGAAAGAACAGAAGAAACCTTTGAAATGAACACAAGAAAGCCTTGATTCCATAGGCATCCATTAATACTTACTTCCTGTATGACTTTTTGGCATGGATGAGTCTGTCCATTTTCCACAATGGGATTGGTATGTCTGAGAAAAGAAAAGGGTCCAAAATTGTTAAAGGAGAATAATTTTGCTGAGGACCAGAGCCTTGGTCCCTGTTTGCTTACTTAGTATATCTTTCTTTCAAATGAAGAAAACCAGATAATACACTCATTTACTTATATCAACGACCTTTCCCTCCTATTCCATTCACACCAAAAAAGCACACTTTAAACCATATTATCATTTTTTAAATTTTTTTTATTTTTAGTTGTAGTTGGACACAATACCTTTATTTATTTATTTATATGGGGTGCTGAGGATCGAACCCAGGGCTTCGCATGTGCTAGACGAGTGCTCTACCACTGAGCCTGAGCCACAACCCCAGCCCCATATTATCATTTTTTACCACCACTATGCCACTTCCACTATAACCTTCAAATTCTATTCTAACTCTGGTTATTAGGGATATGGGGCACTATTTCCACCTTTTCCATATCCCGTTCCTTTTGTAAACATAAATATGTAGTTTCTTCTAAATTAATAATAAAAATATACACAAGCTGTTTGAATATACCATGAAAAACTGAGTGCTGCTAGCATTAAAAGACAAAAATCTTTAGGCCTTGTTGTCTACCAGAAATGTTTCTTGTAATTCTATTCTGAACCCAATGATAAACAACACAGATCCACAAAAATCTTTAGGCCTTATTGTCTACCAGAAATGTTTCTTATAATTCTATTCTGAACCCAATGATAAACAACACAGATCCACCCGTAAGTCAAATCCAACTCTTCTATTTCTGGAGTCCACTAATTTGAAGAAAAATAAGGGAGAAAAAAACTGCAGGATTACTAACTCCATACTACTCTTTAAAATTTTAAATATTTTTCTTTTTGCAATACTGGGGGGATTGAACCCAAGGTCTTGTACCTCCTAGGTAAGTACTCTACCACTGAGCTCCATCCTCAGCCCTATTCTTCGATTTTAAACACAACATAATAAAAATCTGATTTTCTTTAATTCAAGCATTTACATCTATCACAAATTTTCTTTCATTTAATGTAAAATAATGAATATTATCAATAGGTTCTCAAGAATGGCATATAATAGGGCTTTCCTAATTACATAAGGAAAACTCTGCACCAAAATAGAAAGATATTTGTTGACAATAGCTAAGAAGCAAAAACAATACCTTTATTTTAACTTATCCCACATACATTTTCTTTTCTTCCTTTCTTTTTCTTTTTTTTTTTGGTGGTGCTAGGGATTGAACTCAGGGCCTTATGCACGCAAGGCAAGCACTCTCCAACTGAGCTGTACCCCTAGCCCTCCACATAGGTTTTCTAAGTGAATACTACTCTGACATATACGCCCAAGGGGCCCATGAGTTTATAAATTGTGTAATTTAGTCAAGATCGGGCTCTGAATGTTATTCACATGCCTTTTTAATTATTGAGCTCCTCTTCACAGGAGGATTAATTTCATCTGATTATTGAAGATGGTTTTATTATTATTATTGTTTTTTGGACCATATACCATATAGCAATGATTCTGAAAGTGTGGTCTTTAGAATAGCAAGCAGCATCACCTGGGAATTTATTAGATATACAAATTTGGGGGTACTACCAAGATCCAATGAATCAAGACACTTGAAGGATGGGAACTAACATTTTTGTTTTGATAAACTTTCAAGGTGATTCTGACACATGCTAAAATTTAAGAATCCCTGAAAATGTATATTTAGGGGCTGGGGTTGTGGCTCAGTGGTAGAGTGCTTGCTTAGCACATGCAAGGCCCTGGGTTCGATCCTCAGCACCACATAAAAAATAAATGAAACAAAGGTATTGTGTCCAACTACAACTTAAAAAATAAATATTTTTAAAACAGAATCATATTTATATATAATTATACATATAAATCATATAATTTGCATAGTTATATATACAAATTAAAACTACACACAAATTATTTATAATTATTATATACTATATAATACTATCACACATAATTATTCATATGTAATATAATTACTATATTTTACATATAATTATTATATATAATGTGTGTGTGTGTGCGCACGCGTATGTGCGCGCGTTTTCCTCCCCACCCCATCCCCCACCCCTAGTACTGGGGATTGAACCCAGGGCACTCAACCACTGACCTTTATTTCCAGTCCTTTTTATTTTCTGAGACAGTCTCACTAAGCTGCTAAGGCTACAACCCTCCTGTCTCAGCCTTCTAAATAGCTGGGATTAGGTGTTCCACCAGAACTAGTTCAATTATATATATTTTGGGAGAAGGAGGGTACTGGGGATTGAACTCAGGGGCACTCGACCAATCAGTCACATCCCCCCAGTCCTACTTTGTATTTTATTTACAGACAGGGTCTGAGTTGCTTAGTGCTTTGCTTTTTGCTGAGGCTGGCTTTGAACTGGTGATCCTCCTGCCTTAGCCTCCCAAGCTGCTGGGATTATAAGCAAACGCCACCATGCCCAGCGTTCAATTATGTTTTTAAAGGGTCTTTTGACAGAGATAAACTAAGATTGAATTCTCAGAATTTGACTTTGTACCAAAACTTCAGTAACAGGCTTAGTCTCCTGAAAGAGAGCATTATGAAAGTACCTCAAAATATAAGGAAAAAAGTTTGCCTATTTCATCATATATAATGGATTCATCTGAAATTTTAACCCAAGTAAGAAATCCAGAGTCTCCCTTCTTACCTAAATATCACTGCCAGGCGATCTAAGAACACAGTGGGATCTGAGGATATGCCATTGCTGGGCTCCTGAGACAACAGCTGAAGAGACAGAGAGACATTATCTAGTGGTCACAAGTACAAATCCATAGCAAACACCACAAATCCTTAAACATCAATTCTGTCTCAATTTCTGCTTATCTCCTTATAAGAGCGTCTTAAAAATTACTCAAATGCTGTAAACTTAATTTAAATTGTCAAAAATTTTCTTTCATCACCCTGTATCTTAAGCCTATATATTATATTTTACGCTCATATACTTAGGAGCAGAAAACAGCATCATTTGATTTTTTCCCCCCACAGATTAAGATATTATTCACATTATATATTATAATGTAGACTGAATATGTTACATTATAATTAAATATATGTAAGATAATATATTTATATTTAGCTTTATGCTATAAAGCTTTCAAATTATAGCTTTATAATATACTCCAAGCAAGTTGCCTATCATTCTTATTTCCTAAATCATTTTCTTTCTTTCTTTTTCAGTACTGAGGATCAAACCCAGGACCTCACACTTGCTAGGCCTTGCTCTAACAACAAGCAACATGCCTAGTCCCTGAAAATTTCTTAGATAAATTTCTACCAGTGTATTATTAGAGATGAATTCCAGAATCATTATATCAAGTTATAAAAACCCTACCATATGTCTACAGTTATTGTGCTAAAAATGTACATTAATAGACATCTTTAAAATATAAGAGAGCCAAGAATGTAGCTTAAAGGTAGAGTACTTGCATAGCAGGTGCTATATAACCAATGTTTGGTTAATGATGGACCATTTATTTATACAATGGTGTTACCATAAGATTGTAAAAGGACTGAAAATATCTTTTTGTCTAGTGACTTTGTAACTGTCCTAACATCAGAGTGCAAGACATTACTGATGTGGTTTTTGTGGTGATGCTGGTATAAACAAACCTATTGCGCTAATGGTAGAAAAGCATAGCACAGTTGGGCATGGTGGCACATGCCTGTAATCCCAGCTACTCAGGAGCAGAGGTAAGAGGAGCACAAGTTTGAGGCTAGCCTAGGCAACTTAGAGACCTTGTTTCAGTAAATAAAAAGGGCTGTGATGTAGCTCAGAGGTACAGTGTCCCTGGGTTCAATCCCTATTACCACTCCTTCCCCCTCAAAAAGTATAGCACATACAATTGAGTACAATACATAAAACTTGATAACAATGATCATTGCTGGTTTATGTATTTACTATACTATACTTTTTATCATTATTTTAAAGTGTACTACTTCTAGATGGGCACTGTTGCACATGCCTATAACCCCCAGTGACTTAGAAGGCTGAGCCAGAAGGGTCTCAAGTTCAAGGCCAGCTTTGGCAATTTAACAAGACCCTGTCTGAAAATAAAAAATGGTTGGGGAGATAGCTCAGTGGTAGAATGCCCCTGGATTCACTCTCCAGTATAGCCAAATAAAAAAAAGAAAGAAGAAAAAAGGGTATTCTTTTAGTTATTAAAATTTTTTTACTTAAAATAGCATACCATGGATATACCAGAAGCAGTCTCTATCTCATGTTCACTGCATCTCTTGACTGTATCCAAGAGGCTAAGTCAAGTGATTGACCTAAACAATCTAGGTCTGTATTAAGTACACTCTATCATACACAAAAATACAGAACAGTCTACTACCCAGGGGCACTTCTCAGAATATATCCCTGTTGTAAAGGAATGCATTGCTAGTACTTTTTTTCTTATATGTAGCTACTTTGACACTTACTAATTTTAATAAATTTTCAGTTTATTCTTTTGGCTTTTCTAGGCAGATGAAAGACAAGTAAGTAATTTTGTCTTATTTTCTAACATATTAATATCTTGTATTTGTTTCTTCCCTTGCTTAATTGGACTCACCTTTTTCAATGCCATAACCTGAACAGAACATAGTTCACTAAGACATTCAGTAATCTTATCCAACGGTAATCTGGCAAGAACAAGAGCTGTCCCTGAAAAACAAAGGAAGATGCAAATGAAAATAATTGGATTAATTCAATTAATCAGTCTACATCATACAGACTAACAGAAAAAGCTGACTGGTTTCATTATTTTAAAAAAATCAGCACTGTTTTTAAGATGCAACATTTTGTTATTTATGATTTTTTTTTTCTTTATTTGGCTTAAAAGACCACAGGCTGACTATCACATTGAGTTTTATAACCAAAGTTGTTACTAATAATATTCTCTGTAGCACTAACTGGTTTAAAGATGGTGTAAATATGACTTCCCTTCCAATTATTCAAAGACTTTAAAAATCTCCTTTAAAAAGCAAATGCCCAAACTATTTCTATACACTATTAATGTAATATTTCTCATCCTTCACAGAGATTGTGATTTAGTGGGTCAAGAGGAGACTTAATTTTTTCTAAGTACTTCAGGCAAATACAATCAGAGAAGTTTGAGAAACACTGACATAATACTTTTAGGAAGGATGGGCTGACGTCAAAGATTTCATTTGCATTCTACCATAACACACTCTGTGAGCTTTGTGAAACATTATCTCTGAGCCTCAGTTTTTTTTATGTGTGAAAGTGATTTGAATAGAAAATTAACAATCAAGCTACCTTTATCCTATCAGCATTTTCCGCCAAAATAAATGCTACCTTTGAGCTCAACAGCATAAAAAACAAAACAAAACAAACAATCCACAAATCCACAAGAAACAATGTTTAGATTCAGTGGGGCTGGAAGAAGGATTGGTTCTCTCAGTCAGCCTTCCTCTGGTTCAAATACCTTTTCTATCCCCACCAACCACTGAAATATTTTCCCCAAATCCAAAGAAACACACATCAGCCGAAGTCCCTGCAAAGTCAAAAACCCTCTGATTCTTATTCATTTCTTTAATTATCATTCAATATAACAGTAATCCTTAAAATCTGAATTTAAAAAACTGAGTGATTTTTTTTCCTGGCAGTCTATGAGCCATAGATGGGTTAGACATTTCTTTAAAACTAGTGGGGAGGGAAGTGGTTGGGGGAGGTGTAACTTAAATACACTTTACCACTGAGCTACATCCCCAGCCTTTTTAATTTTTTAGACAAAGTCTTGCTGAATTGCTAAAACTGGCCTTAAAATTGTGATCATTCTGCCTCAGTCTCCTGAGTTGCTTGAATTATAGGTGTGTATCACCACGCCTATCTTTTAATTTTCATTTTTAATTCATTTCTACAGAAGAGAATGTAAATAAAAACTCTTCTACATCTAGAAGATATCGTAACTGGAAGCCATAATCTACTACAAGTTAGATATTACTTTAGTATCATAGTTAAATGTCACTAGAAAATAACAAGAAAGAACAGCTGACTGATTTAATCAATGCCTTATTATCTATACCCATGAAGGCAAAATCTATGGTATAAAAATAAAATCTATGGGAAATGTGTAGTCATATTAACTGGTAAGGAACCTGGTCACAGAAATAAGAGAATTAGTTCATGCATAAGGTCTTCTAAAGCCTTGCAAAGGCTGTTTGATGCCCACAGAAACTCAGACACTGTACAGTTTGTATTATCCAACCCTTTATTTAATATATTCCAACCCTCTCTACCAGCTATAATGATTTTACTACCTCACAGAACACTCAATCTGTCTTCAGAAAGAAAGACCAGAAATTATTTTCTTTCTAGGAGCCAGTATATATTTCCCTATATGCGGTTGATAATTCCTCAAAATAAACAGGATCCACTTTTTTATAAAGTAATCTTTCAAATGTTTATAAATAACCATCCTGTTTAAAGTCTATTCTAATTTTTTTTAATTGGGTATTGAACCCAAGGTACTTTAAATGCCCAACCCTTTTAATTTTTTTAAATATATATATTTTTAGCTGTAGATAGACACAATACCTTTATTTTATTTACTTAGTTTTATGTGGTGCTGAGGAGGGAACCCAGTGCCTCACATGCGTTAGGCAAGCACTCTACCACTGAGCCACAACTCCAGCCCCTTTTTATTTATTTATTTTTAATTATTGTTATTTTTTTTACTTGTAGTTGGACACATTTCATTCATTCATTCATTCATTCATTTACATGTGGTGCTGAGGTTCGAACTCAGGGCCTCATACGTGCTTAGCCAGCGCTCTACTGCTGAGCTACAACCCCAGTCCTGCTTTTGAGACAGGGTCTCACTAAGTTTCTCATGCTGACTTTGCAATTCTCCTGTCTCAGCCTCCCAAGTTATGTGCTACTACACTCCACTATATTTTTCCTTAAATCTGTTTTTTTCTTTTCTTTTTTTTTGGTACTGGGGGTTGAACCCAGTGGTACTTAACCAATGAACCACATCTTCAGTCAATTTTATTTTGAGTCAGGGTCTTAGTTATTTAGGGCTTCATTAAGTTTCTGAGGCTGGCTTTGAACTATGGATCCTCCTGCCTCAGCCTCCCAAGCTTGTGCCACCATGCCCAGCTATCTCCAGTCCTTTCTATTTTTATTTTGAGGCAGGGTATTACTAAGTGGTTAAGGGTTTCTCTAAGTTGATGAGACTGGCCTTGAATTTGCAATCCTCCTGCCTTGGTCTCCCAAGTCTCTGGAATTACAGGCATGAGCCACTGCACCCTGCTTTCCCTAATCTTCATAACTCTGGTTCTATTAGCCTAAGCCCCTAACCACTGTGTTTGGATAGGCAGACACTCAGTGTAAGCTGATCAGTAATGATAGAGACTAATACGAGACCAGAACCCTTGGCTTCAACACATGGCACTGATCCATGCACACCAACTTTCAATATCTACTTAATTCTTTTTTATAGCACTACTTCCTTAGTAAGTCTAATGTAAAAAGTAACTGTATTTAGTTCAAATGTGCCGCCTCCACCCAAAATCTATACCTGTGCTTTACATACTTGCCAACAGCATGATTTAATTTTGTAGACTTTAAAATATCTTTTTTTGGTGGTGGTGCTGGGGATTGAACCCAGGGTCTTATGCATGCAGGGCAAGCACTCTACCAATTGAGCTATAGCCCTGGCCCCGACCTTAAAATATCTTAAGAAAACAATGCATGTACACCCTCCCCTGAATGGAAAAGCTACCTTCACCATCACTAAGTTTATTACAACTGAAAAACAATTTTATGATGTATATAAAACAACCCCAAATAGAAGCTCAGAGGAAATAGTTACTGGTTAGCATTATTAAATAAATACCTTTTAGCAAGCCCACTGCAGCTTCCGGAGAAAACATGAAGGAGTCAAGAGAACGAGCAATCTCCAGGAGTCCATTAAAGTGCTGAGCCATGTGATCTCGACAGACAGAGCAAATATTATGAATGGCTTTGGCTGCAGCAGAAGCCAGAGGCTTTTCACATAGGCCTTTCATCAAATAGCCCAACACAGGGTCTGGAAAGTAAAGCAGAGATTATAAATCTGAAACTCAAGGAAAACTTCTAGTTAAAGCAGAAGTTACAATTTTTTAAGTAAAAGAATATTTTTTAAACAACAAAGTATTTAAAGAATCCCCAATAGAAAAAGCATAAAGCTGGGCATGGTGGCGTATGCCTGTAATCCCAGAGATTTGAGAGGCTGAGGCAGGAGAAATGCAAGTTCAACATCAGCTTCAGCAACTTACTGAAGCCCTAAGCAATTTAGTGAGACCCTGTCTCAAACTAAAAAGGGCTTGGGATGTGGCTCAGTGGTTAAATGCCCCTGGGTTCAATCCCCAGCACCAAACAATCAATCAATAATAAATATATAAATTAAAAAGCATAAAAACAGAGCTGATCTGACAGACACAGTGTTAGGAGGCCCTGAGCCCCATCTATTTCATCTTCCATTTCTTCCCTTATATTAGTCAACTATTCCTTCTAACTGTCTGGATTCCTGAAGTACAGTTTGAAAACCACTAATTCCACAGTATATATGGCCATTTAGTTATTAAAATATGTTAATGTAAGAAAGAATGTAAGGCTCAGAGGATTACCATCATACCAAGAGATGAATCACTTAGTAAAACAGCCTATACTAATCAGGACAATGATAGTTGTCTAAAGCTGACATTTTTATGTTTGTATCTTTCTAGCTATATTTGTATCTTTCTAGTTATAAAAAGCTATAAATTTATGTGGAAGAATCTTTAGCACTTCTAGATAAATTCATTAAAAACTGTTTAATTAAAACTATGTCTTGGGATGGGGCTGTAGGTCATTGGTACAGCACCCGCCTTGCACGTGTGAGGCACTGAGTTCGATCCTCAGCACCACATAAAAATAAAGATACTATGTCCAACTACAACTAAAAAAAATATTAAAAAAAAAAAAAATCTATGTCTTGGGGGACTGGGGTTGCAGCTCAGCAGTCGCCTAGCGTGTGCAAGGCCCTTGGCTCGATCCTCAGCACCACATTAAAATAAAGGTACTGCATCCAACTACAACTAAAAAAAAAAAAAAGTAAAGCTAAAAAAACAAAAACAAAAAAACTATGTCTTGGGTCTGGGGCTGTGGCTCAGCGGTAGAGCATTTGCTTAGCATGTACAAGGCCCTGGGTTCGATCCTCAGCACTACATAAAAACAAATAAATAATGATGTAAAGGTATTACATCAAACTACAACTAACTAAATAAATATTAAAACCAAAAAAAAGTCTTAATTTTGCCAAATGCTAGTGTTCCAAGAAAGTTAATCTGTAAAAATGAATTTCTTTATGTATATATGTGGGGATTGAACTCAGGGCCTTGGGTATACTTTATCATTAAAGTACACCCCCAGTATTTCTACTCATCTTTTCCCCTCAGAATGTATCCCTTTTAATGTCAGGGCCTTAATACATATTACACTGGATTAATTACTTACTTTGGGTTTTAAGAGTTCTTATCTACAAAATGAAGGGATTAGGATACATGGTTTCTAATTTGACCTTCAATTCTAACATTATTTTATATGAGTTTTACTTATTTTTTCAAGTCAATAAGGGTAGACAAGTTATATTTCTCACTGCTGTTCATTTTCACTTGTATTTATTTTGTTTTGAATGATAATTCTTAAGTTTTTAAATGGAGCATGTAGTTAACACAGAAAACCCCTCTCCTTTAGTCTATGAGTGCTTCTAGGTTAGAACTACAGACAGATTAACTCATACATTTTGCCAAAGACTAGCAAAACCAGACCTTAAGCAAAGTACCAGGCCTTTTCCTTGTCTAGAGATCTAATTTTTCAAAGGTCCTTCTCCCAGATCAGATTACAAATGTTGTGTCATCTATGCAACTTACAATATATTTATTCTGTCTACAAACGTTATACTTATCAGTAAAAAAAGAAAGCAAGAAAAGAATAAAAGTAACCAAGGAAAAGAAAATCAGAAGCAGCAGCACATGGGAGAGTTTACACATACCAAGGAACTGAGGATTTCGATCAACCACTTCGCTCATTTCTCCAACCAACTCAATGCTGGTGTATCGCACGGCTGTATGGACAGTCTCTGGGAGACGAACGACTCCTTCTAGGACCTCCACCAATGTTGGATTGTTCTCCCTGAATATAAAAAGCAAGCACTCAGTTACTGACTATAGAGGTTATGTTCTGGCCAAATAACAGGCTACAGTGAAACACTATACTGCTACAGGGCTTCTTTCTAAAGAAATAACCATTCAAATAAATGTGTTTTAATACTGGGTAAGAATGTTTCTTAAATCCTCACAAAAGATGAAAGATAACATTGTTTCAGGAGAAGCACTTTCATTTTCTCAATGTGAGGAAAGTGTTTAAGGCCTCATGATGCTATCAAAGAGAGGCTCTTCCAGTGGGAAAGGCAGACATTCACTGGGGATTAATGTCTTCTTTTAAAGAATCTATTTCATTTATTTCTATATCTGTAGCACCTTATTTTTCCCTAGGGGACACTAAACCTGGAACAGTGCCTGGCACATAGTAGGCACCCAACAAATATTGCTGAATGGCTAAATGAATATGAATAACTCTCACAGACCACTTTCTATTACTTGCTATTCTTTAAAAGATTTCTTATGGTTGAATACTGGAAACTTTAAGAACAGAAGAGTATGGGTAGACCAATTCACTAACTAAAATAAAAGAACACAAAAACAAGCTGCAGCAATAGGTTAAGGTGCTCCAATATGAAACACATGGGAAAATTAAAGTTAGGTACTTTCTATAGTGACATGAATTTATCTCCATCCCCAGTCCAATATTACTGGCTAAGGTTTTTTTAAAAACAGAGTGAAAGATGCCCCAAAGTGGCAGGACTTAATCCAGAAATGAAGATGTTTAAAATATAAGAAGTATTCTGGATTAGACCAAGTGCACCCCCTACTGACAATAAGGTCTATTAAGCCCTTTAAATGGATTAAAAAATTATAATTATTCAGTTGGCTTGACAAGCAAGTAAACAATAGAAAAAAATCTTCTCTCGTTTACACCTTATTTTTCCCTAGGGGACACTAAGCCAATTACTGAATATTACCTATACATTTTTTTCAAGCAAGAATAGTAATGACTTTAAAACCTTCAGAATGTTCTAAAACAACACCAAATCAGATTAGATTGAAAAGCAAATAGTATAATATATAATTATGAACTAGAACTTCTTAATAGAGAAAAATAAACCCACTCTATCTCTGTGAATATTTATTATATAGAAACAATGTAAGATATCAGTGACTAAGTCCTGAAAGGCAACTCAGAAAGAAGTACTGTGCTTTTAATAAATATCTGCCTTAACCATCTTCCCATCAAGGCCCTGAATAAAGAGTTTGAGTGCAGGTATCTGATCAAAATACAAAGTAATGTAACAGATATTAACACCAATGTATAAATTCATGGTACAAAGTAAATTGTCTTTACAGTTTCATGTCTTAAGTAGATTTTCTATGCTAAGCAATTTAAAAATCAAATTTGAAATAACTTAAAAGTTTCAATGGCAATAATAAAAATAACAACTGCCCTTAAGATATTGCTGTTCTTTTAGATGAAATGGTGCCTATGCCTTGACTCTCTGATATTCACAAATTATTCTCTAAGACAGAAAAAAGGAATACAATATAATTAAATATATGTAAAGATAATATGCACAAGATCAAAAAAGCAGGAGACCCAAATTAATACCTATTCAATTGCTTTTAAGCAAGTACCAACAATTTAATAGTCTAATGAATTATTGATCTATACCTACTTTTGGAAAGGTGCCACGGTTGGAAAAAATAAATCAGCATTCTATTCCTAGCATCAAAAGTAAAATAATTTTACCTCTAGAAAGTGTGGTTAAAACATGGCAACAGAAACGCAGGCCATCCTGGACTAGTCAGAACACTAGAAAACACTATAGAAGGTAAAAAGTTCTAAGAGTTTCCAAACATATACCAAATAGGAGAAAAAATGTGTAATTTTCCTTCCTCTTGATATTCACAATTCCCAGCAAAAGACTTATTAGACACTCACGGATCAACACTCTTTGCTATAGCAGCCATGATAAAGAGAACCGCTTCTGTCACCTCCCAGGGTGGGTTGCCTTCTTTCAGAGTAGAATATAACTAGAGAAGAAGAGGTGGATTGTGGATCCATTAAGAGGAAAACAGAATACCAAAACAAAAAACATTGTTAGTTAAAAGAAATCCAGCTCCTTGTTTCTAAATTTAATTATCTCTCACAGCCAGGCATGAATATTTTTATTTTTCACATTCTCACTAATTAAAACTGTTATTTTAATATTTGAAATACACCCATTTATACCCCCTACAAGAATTTATCAAGACTTCAGAAAATGAGTATAATGGGAAAAACAAAACATATTATATTAGTGTCTTTTTTTTGGTCTTGATAATTGATAAATACATACACACTCAAAATGGAGATACAATATAAATCTTCTGCATGTATATTGGCTGTACCTTTCTACTATTTTAACTATTTGCACCAACACTATTAATAGAGGCTAAACTCCTGTAAAAGCACCTAGTTAGAAGGATCTATTGCAATACCATATCTAAGAAGAATATTTTTAAGAAGGAATCAGAGATGTTCTGGTCCAGAATTTTCCAGGTAATAGTCACCTATGGAATGTGACTAGACATTAATCTAAGTAAGACTTCTATGGTCAAATAACAGATACTACCAGGAAAGACAAAATTAAACAACTCTCTTGTCTGACCTTAGAGAGGCTTTAATATACTATATTAGCATACACCTGTAATCCCAGGCTAAGGCAGGGATTCAAGGCTGCCCTCAGCAACATAGCAAAGGCTTATCTCAAAAAATACAAAGGGCTAGGGATATGGCTCAGTGATAAAGCACCCCCACCCCCATGTTCAACCCCCAGTACCCCCCCCCAAAATATATATATATATATATATACTATTTTAGATCATTTCCCAATTTTACTTAATTTAACTCCTTTCCTCCTCCCTCAAACATAACAAAACATCTCATAGACTGTTATTCCACAGAGCACATCCTGGCAACATGATTAATTAAAATAAATTAACCACAGCCAGTGAGGAAAGAGCTAAAATCTGTACCCAAGTCTTCTGCCTAGAGTCTAGGGATCTCACTAAACTTCCTAAGAAATCTCTAACCCTTCATAGTTGAATCAAAAACCATGTTTGTAATGAAAATAGTTATAAGTTTATTAACACTTCCTAGATCAGATTATGGTCAAATACATACAAAGTGACTGAGTTACCTTCCCTACAAAATTCCTTTAGGTTAGTTTGGTATTGCTATATAGCAAAGGATCCAAACTAAAACTTCAGAGATCATTAGAGTATGAACCAGAAATATGAAAACCACCTGAAATTATGCTAATGTTAAGTGATGTGGAATGATGATCATTGTAACCTTATGAGATAAAATGTTACTCACTGTCAGGAAAACCACAGGACTATGAATCTTCTACTCTACTATAGTCATCCTCTGGGATGAAGCTGCACAGGAAACCTAACCTTAAGTGTGGACAAAGGAAATGCCAAATAACTAAAAGAGTTGCCAGGAGTTGGTACATAGTCCAAATTCCGTATACGTATCCTGGAAGCTTTAATGCTTATCTGTGATCTTCCATTCTAGCTGCACAAGTGGAATAGCTCTTATTAGCCAGAGTAACAGAGTAATCCATAACTGAATTATCCACAGACTGCAGTTCCCTTGTTAGATACTAAATAAACATAGCTTAAATATGCCAGGCAATGTGCTAGGCACCTGTATAACTACTATTCCATTTAGCCATTAAGCTTGAAGAAATATGATGGAACATTAACAGAAGACACAGAAGTGGAAACAATTAAGGTGATCAGTAAAATTGACTCAAGAATCTCCAAACAGGCTTACCTGAGCAAAACACTCCATAGACCCAATCAAGAAAATCAAATCTTTCACCAGGTCTGATACCCGCATCCGAAACTCGCCAAAGTCATCAGTTTCCTCAGGAACCCCCTCCTGAAATTTCAAATCAGGCAGCATTTATTTTAAACTCACTGAGGCTTTCAATGATGTCTATAAAATCAATAGAGAAGAAAAAGACATTAAGCAGTCAAGTGCCAGTGAACCAAAGTTGCCTAAATCACAAGGGTATTTTACTACAGAGAGTCTCCCAAATTGTTAGGGAAGGTAAGACAACATAACTTATCCCCTACCCTTACTTGAAGAAATTCTTCCATTTATGTGTGTATGTGTGTTTTGTATTCCCAAGACACACTTTGTTTTGCGTTAAAAAGAATGTGAGTAGGGGTGGGGGTGATCAGAAGTGACTAGGAAGAAGTGATAAATTTAAAGAGTTATAAGCCTACTCCTGGAACGTCAGCGCTTAAGCACTGAACAAGTCATTACAGCTTCAGTGTTCAAAATCTCCCAAAATCAACCATTATCATAATAACTTCCCAAAGAAAATAGAATTTTAGACTTTAAATGCTTCCTATCCAAACAAACTTCTATAAGTAAATAAAGGGTTACCAATTAATTTATAATTTTGAGATGGTTAAGGGCATGGTATAAGAATCTTGGGCCATGAAAACCTGAAAAAATTCCTTAGTTCTATAAGAATTGTTGGTCTCATTCAACCTCCTTGCATTAATATAAAGAAATTAAGGTTGAGGAATGATGAAGAAATGATGGCTGTCTCAGATGAAATAATGGATAACATTATAAAACACTGTATAGTTACAATTAGAAGAAAATATCTGCAAGGGAAATGGTGCCACTGAACTAGCAAAGGGAAGAGGATCAAACAGAAAGACCATTTAAACCACAGAAGCCCTGCTTTTTATTTACATATCAGTCTCCCAAGTAAAATGTAAAGATAAGATTCCTTGGTTTAAAAAAAAAAATCTGAACATCATAAAACAAGGTCATCAGTAAAGTTCTATGGAGATACTATTCAGATTGGGGATGTAGGTCAGTGACAAGAGCATTCGCCTAGCATGTACAAGGCCCTAGGTTCAATCCCTAGCAAACCACCCCCGCCCCCCCCCCCAGAAAAAGAAAGAAAAAATACCATGTCTAATTTAATGGTAATCAATTAAATTTACTCCAGGTCCTAGATTAAAATGATCAACCAAACAAATGAAATAAATGAGGCAAAATTTGGGAGAGACTAAGAAAAAAGGCTCAAGAGTTTTCCAACGAACTATTTGGTAATATTTCTAGTATGTTTTCTTATATGCTAATATATTATTTCTATATTTTCTCTTAAATTATAAAGTCAGTATAAATAATATAAATAAAAGTATGTATCTGGGGAGAAGTCATGAAATGTCCAATACCTTCACAAATATTTCCCTTTTCTGTTAATCTAAGCACACATTTTATACTATTAAAAAACAGTATAAAGCTCCTCATTCTGATTTTTTTTTCTTAGCATACCATACTGTTTTTCGGTAATCATTATTTTACAATGTTCCATCAATTTGCTATGATTTATGTCACTCTTCTTATACTGTTATTCATGATTTATCATTTTCTACCTTTACAGATAATATTTTGTACATAAAAGTGTTTCTTCTGAAGGATTTTTTAAAGATAAATCCTTGGAAAAGAATTACTGTCTCAGCAAGAGCAATATTTGTGAACATAAGCCTAATTTGTCTTTATTAATATTGCTACTGACTTTGTCACTGTAACCTAAAGTGACAAAAATCAAAAGATTCTATCAGCTCTATTCTCTATCTTTTCAGTTTCTTTCCAAATTAGCACTGAAAAGAGGAGAAAATTAAGATATGAAGAAGTAGAGAAGGAAACTTACATGGTCCGGTTCTAGCTGGCAGTGTCGAGCCAAGGCATGAAGCAGCCTCTGAATGTAAGCTTTGAAGATGCCATGAATAACTTCATCGTTAGTTTTGTACAAATGCTCCCCTAGTCGGTACCAAAAGTTAAAGGAAATTTCTACTACCTGTCAGATTACAAGAGAAAAGATTACTTATTTGAATGGCAAAGAAATAGATTCAGTCAGTTTTATTATTTCTAAGGCCACATAAGAAAGATTTACCTGAGGACCAGTTAATGAGTCCCCCTTTTCTCTAGACCTCAAATATGTCCACCTACATTTAGAATGATTAGATTACATTTTCCTATTTACTCCTGGGATAACTGCTTCTAAAGTTATATTGGATTCTGAATTTAGAGAAATAGATACTGAGATGAAGTGCTTTTAAAAGTATTTTTCCCAAACTATAAAATCACTTCAATATATTTTTGAGATTAGAACATTTCTTACCGCCAAACCATGTTAATTCCTTGAACATAACTGAGTCAGCCTCCTGTCATTATATGTGAGGTGCTACACTTCTCCCCAAAATGATAATTTGGGTTTCATTCAAATCTAGTTGTCCTCATGAAATTATACAAAACAAATAAACTTCTCTTATGTAATAAAAGAAAAAGCATGGAGATTCACAAACGTGCTTTGCCTACAAGTAATCACAATTAAGAGGCAGCCCTACCATTCTTTTCCCATCAAGAATCCAAGATAGAGACACTCAAAACAATATCAAACTTGGAAGCACTTTTTTCACATTTCTTATACTATAAAGAGGAGGTAAATGAAGAAAAATGTTTTAACCTCCAAATTTAAGAGAGCAGGGTATTGCCAGGTGCAGTGGTACACATCTATAATCCTAGCCACTCAGGAGACTAGGGCAGGACAACTCAGCAAGACCCAGTTTCAAAATAAAATAAAAAGGGTTGGGGCTATAGCTCAGTGGCATCATGTTCCTGGATTTGATTCTAGTTATCACCCCATCCTCACCAAAGGGCAAGGCAAATGTCTTAAAGATAGCCTTTTCAATCCCTTTCTCATTCACATCCCTCATGTGGAGAAAAATCTGACATGTGAAGATTTGTGGAGATTCAGTTAGGATTCAGTATATGTTATAGTTTGATCTTGAAGGTCTCCCAAAGATTTATGTGATGAAAGTTTGGTCTCCATCCATTCCATAACATTACTGGGAGGTGGTGGAACCTTTAGGAGGAAGGGTCCAATGAAAGAAGTTGGGTAACTGAGGACATGCCCCTAGAGGTAGAGACCCTAGCCCTCCTCTTCCTCTTTTGCACACAGCTGGGATTTGTTGGCCATGCACTTACAGCCATGATTTACTACTGCCGGGCCACAGGCCCCAAAGCAATAGGGCCAACAAAACATGGACTAAAACATCTGAAACTGTGAGCTAAAATAAACCTTTCCTCTTTTAAAAAGTTGATTATTCAAGTATTTTGTTACACTAATGGAAAGCTGATGAACAATGTAGTTTTAAACTGCAAAGCTCTAGAGAATCAACACAGCTGAAAAGGGGACTCAGTGAAAAAGCAATAAGCTTTTCTAATAGGTTTTTTGAGGGACCTACAACAGACAATCCAGCAAACCAGGTTAAAAAAAATGGAAAAGGATATAAAGTAGAAACTCAATTTTTGAAAAATTTCAATACAGAGGGAACTCCCATATCACATTAATTAAAAATAAGAATATAATTTCTCAAGAAAACAAGGTGAGGGATGAGGCCTTGGAATATAAACAACATGCAATACACAACTTGGAGATGATGGTCTTAGCATATTAAAGACATTACCTCATACTGAGGATGCCCTGCACAAATAAGAAGCAATTCCAGAGTTCGCAGGTCCCCAAGACCTTGGCCTGGAGTACAAACAATTTTTTCAAGAAAAGTTTCACATAGTTCAGTGAAAATACGGCAGTAATTCAGAACTCTGTAGAAGAAAAAAGAATGAGAGTAGCAAGTCAGAAATCTGGTTATTGTTTACACACACACACACACACACACACTCTCTCTCTCTCTCTCATAGTCCTCAGCTTAAGACACATATAGTGATTCTTTGCTATGCTGTATCACAATCTCTATTGTAGATACCTTTACTTAGACTGTCCACTTCTCCACAGATAAGCAAGGAATAAGTCAAATTCTCAATTACTAAAACATTTTTAAAAGTTACACTTGATATTTTAAAGTCTTTTCCCTAATTTTTATAGCCTTTCCTTTTGTGCAAAAACTTTGCATAATTGGTAATTATACAACTTCTTCTGCATCCAACTTGCCACTTCTAAGTTTGCATGAGAATCAAAGTATCTTTAGGATGCACTACTTTAATATTTACACAGAGCCACTAAGAATCATAAACAATAGATGAATAATAAAAAGTAACATAATGTGCTAGGGATGTAGCTTAAATATAGAGTACTTCTCCTGTGTGAGGCTCTAGGTTCAATCCCTAGCACCACAAAAGTAAAAAATAAAAGATCAGACTTTTAAAAAATTCAGAGCTCCAATCTTAAATAATTACTCACTTGTCTAAATCTTCACGTGCCACAGCCATATGATAGGCAGTCTCCAATGTCAGGACTCCCTGAAAAAGTTGCATTGCTAATGGCAAGGTAGTTTCCACATTCTCAATGGCATAAAGAGCTGAGCACACACAGTCTGAAGCAGCTTCATGTAGGTTAGATGAGGTCTTATCCTGTTGCTGGAAGATAGCAGGAACAGCAAAGTAAGAAGTATGATCATTTTAATACAAGTAATAGGAAAACAATTAGAGCTTCTTCTGAACATGTTATGTACTTTAAATATCTAATAGCCTAGTAGTCACTGCCTTGTATAAGACAACATCATGTTGTCTATTATTATTATCATCATGTTGTCTATTATTAGCCCTATTATTATCTCTGGAAATCTTTTCCATACTCTTTCTGATATTCAAGTACTAAGTAAAATGAAAGGGCTCAACAACTTCCAAACATATCACTGTGAAATCAGAATACCAAAGTTAAATAACAGTTCTTCAAACTTATTGGGATGAAAGGAGGAGGTAACTTATGATCAAAAATCATAGAGTCCTCTAACTTCTCATTAACAATGATGCACGTTAGAAAACGAGAGCAAGGCTTCTAAAATTCTGAAGGAAAATATATTGAATCTAGAATTCTATACTTAGCCAAAGTATGAAAACAAAATAAAAATATTTCTTGGGCATGCAGAAATTCTGATTTCACTTTCTGTGCATCTTTTCTGAGGAATTCATTGAGTAGGTTCAAAAACTACTTTATTCAACCTAGAAAGCATAGAAAAGGGAAATCCAAGGATGACCATTTGGGAGCTGATCTAAAGAACAACTGATACAAATTAGTATAGTTCAGAAGGTACAAGAAGGGACGATGCAAGGCTCCTACTTAAAGAGAGTACAGATGAGAGGCTGGAAAAATGTAATGAAGGCATATTAGTTTTTCTTGAATAACAAAAACCAGGAAACTTAGAATCACCAGGAGGGAAAAATGCTACATAAGCAGTGTTAGGAGAGCAACAAGATGCAAACTATTCATTACCCTATTCTTAAAACCGAATGGTGGGGGCTGGGGATGTGGCTCAAGCGGTAGTGCGCTCGCCTGGTATGCGTGCGGCCCGGGTTCAATCCTCAGCACCACATACAAACAAAGATGTTGTGTTCGCCAAAAACTAAAAAATAAATATTAAAAAAAAAAAAAAAAATTCTCTCTCTCAAAAAAAAAAAAAAATGGTGGTTCAAAGATATTATATAACCATGTTTTAAAAGTTAGATACATACTCAAATTTATTCTTTTGAGATATATACTCAAATTTATTCTTTTTATCTTTAAATAACTTAAAAAAAAAGAACTACAGAGGGAAGTTACACAAGAAAGCTGTGTAACTTATAAATATAAAGCAAACTAAAATGTGGCATGATTTTCAACCATTCAATGAATGTAAAAAATGAGAATATATTTGACCCTCAACTATGGAAATACTCTCAATTTAAGTGGCAGTGGAGTCCTGACATGAGATCAGTAGAGTAGATAATATAATCCTTACATACTACTGAACTTCTTTCTTACCCAGATCCCAATTCCCAGAAGTCACCACTATTAAGTCTGAAGTGTATATACTCGAGACTTTCCTCCATTCATAGGTAATCAAACTTATGTGGGTTTTTTGCTTAGTTTTTGTTTTTTCTTTTATTTTATTTTGAGACAAGGCTTCATTCAGTTGCTCAAGTTTGCCTTGAAATTGTGACCCTCCTGCCTTAGTTTCCTGAGTAGCCAGGATTAAGATGTGGGCCACCATGCCTGGTTTATATTTAGAAACTTGTTTTTTTAAAAAATTTGTTCTTTTTCGTTATACATGACAGTAGACTGTATTTTGACATATCATATATGCATGGAGTATAACTTCCTATTTTTTGTGGTTGTACATAGTGTAGATTTACACTGGTCGTGTTTTCATATGTGAACATAGGAAAGTTATGTCTAATTCAGTCTACTGTCTTTTCCATTCCCATGCCCCTTTCTTCCACCCTAGGAACTTTTAAAAATAAACTATCTCAAGATAATACTCTGATCTACAATCATCTCTGGATGCAAAACTAAGGATGATTTTTTAGGTCCTCTCGTTTTTTTTTTTTTTTTTTTTCCAAAATATTTGATATACAAGTAATTATGTCATGGTAATGTCAAAGACACTGTGACCATTATTAAAAATATGCTATTTTACTTTATTCTACCCTAAATTCTGAGTTAAAAATGATACCATCAATTTGGTACTTGATAGCAAGGAAAGGACACTGCCACTTTCCTAAAATATACATTCCAGTCACTGTGCAGAAATTTAAAAACACATTATGTCCTAGATTATTAAAAGTAAATGTGGTAGGGGCTGGGGATGTGGCTCAAGGGTAGCACGCTCGCCTGGCATGCGTGAGGCACTGGGTTCGATCCTCAGCATCACATAAAAATATTGTGTCCACCTAAAACTAAAAAATAAATATTTTTTTTAAAAAAGTAAATGTGTTAGGAATACTATGATAAGCAAAGCTCTTACTTACCAAAACCTCAAAAAGAAGGGCTAGTAACTTATTGTTAGCCATGAAGTTACTGTCCAAAACTCCCAAGTTAAACCAACTTCCCAAACAGCGAAAGACCTTCATAAGCATTTTCTCATCTGTTCCTGCTTTTTCTACACAAGTCATCTGAATAGAAGGGAAAAAAAAAGTTAAAAGAAATAATGTTGATCATCTTAAAAGGACAATGATAAGGACAATAAAAATGCTAACAGTTGAAAGTACGTAGTGTGTACCACAGTTCTTAACACCACTAAGCCATTTATTCCCCGTTAAAATTCTAAAGGAAGGTACTATTGCCTCCTGTTTCTCAATGGGAAATTGAGATACAAAGAGATCACAGACATATTTCAAAAACAGAGCTCTTTCAAAAATAACTTAGTAAGTTTCTAAGTTCCCACTTCTCCATTAATGTAGTTTTATAAATAATTGTTTTTAAAGTAACATTTAGCTATCTACATACCCAACTTTCATAGAACAAATGAACGAGGCATACCACTGTATATTCCTACATGAAAAGCCAATGCTTCAGCACCTGAATATTCTAATAAATATGTCATTCCACAGAAAGTGACATTACTATATGTAAAACAGATGCAACAGAAGTCAGACCAAAACTTACCACTGTTTTTTTCTTAGCAACCCATTCTTGGGGTATATATTTTTACCAAAGTAAAGTGTAATGCAACTTTTTCTAGATGAAGAATGTTTCAAGAAAGCTTTGGCCAGCAGTAAGTTGAAACAACAAAACTGCAGTGGGGTTCCGAATGCACAAGGCAAAGGCACTGTGTCCTTTCCTTGCTATGGGACAGTAGAATCCCATAACACGCTATCAAACCAGACCTCAATTCTGGTGCATGTACTTCCAAATAGCCCTGTATGCATTATCGAGCAATAATGATTACATGCTTCTTAATTAGTTTGAATTAAAAGGAGAGAGAGAGAGAGAGAGAGAGATGATTCAAGTAAGTTTATGGCAACCACAATCTAAAGAATAAAATTCTGGTATTCATATTTACACTGTAGATATAAACTATACAGGAAAATCCTCCAGATTCAGAGCTTTATCTATCTCACAAGGTACACCAGAGATGACTGTTTTTATCACTGTCCTCCAAAGAAGTGCTAGGTTGCATGCAAAGATGAAGAGAAGTGATGGGTTTAGATATGACTATACACCACGTTCCTTTCCACATAATACTACCTAAGATATTTAGATCTAAAGAACTAAAAAAAAAAATTTAAACCAAACTTTTCTACTAAGAAGACAGAAAGAAAGGACGTACAAGTATATGAATATACTTGCTTCCTTCTATTTTTCTGCCTCTTCCTGGCCGTTACATTTTAGGGGAAGAGGAACATTATAATGAAAAGGGAGACCATCATAACTAATGTTTATTAAGGGGTAAGACTATTTGCTTTGTAAAGAAAGAAATTCGCTAATTAAATTTACTGAGACGTCACAGTGTGCCATGTAGTTTTAAGAGCTTTACAAGTATTATTAACTCAATCCCCACAAAGTGAAATAGATACTATATCCTAAATATATAGATTAAAAAACTGAAGCAGAGGAGGTAAGTAACTTGCTCAATATGATACAGCATAGATAGGACTCAAAGTTAAGAAGTCTAGTTTCAAAGTCTATGATTTTAACTTCAACACTCTTGCTACCTCCCAAATTTCTCTATTTGCTTGTATGTACAGAATATCCTACTACTAATCCAGGACTTCCTACATTTCAAAGACATTTAAATGTAAGAGTACATCAATGACCTTGCACAGAATATTATTATATACTAGTATATAATGATAGTAAATAGTATATTACCAAAGAGTGCCAGGAAATATTAAAAGAGCACAGGGAAACAGAATCATCCATCATCCTTTAAAATATTATTTTGCTAGCTTTAAGCACAGTTTGCTTATTTTTAAAAATTAAATTAATGCAGACTTGGGACACTAAAATGCCTTAAGGTTTTTAGAAAGGATTAAAATACTAACATATTTCAGTAAACTAATAAATACACCTGAAAAGAATTCCTATACTAGGCACTTATTTTAATATGATTCAAGGCTGAAAGTAGAAATAATATGAGTAACTAAATTTCCTTAACATGAACTGGAGGCACTGAGAGATTCCTCTTTTAGCACTTATATATAGCAATACACACAGTCTCTTCCTTCTGAATCTTTAAAGCCCTTGATATAAACTCATTACGCAACTGCTACGCCTTTATGCTTCCTGAATGACTTTGGGTTTTAATAAGGCACCCCTATTTAGAAAAGGAAGGCTTGCTGTACATGAATTCTGAGTCTTACATGTAAGACTATTTGCTTTATAAAGAAAGAAATTCTGCTAATTAAATTAAATACACATACCAACTAAGAGGTTTTCACTTTCTTGAGTACTATGTTACTAAACACTGTCTTTTAAAATGAGGCCTGGGGCTGGGGATATAGCTCAGTTGGTAGAGTCCTTGCCTCACATGCACAAAGCCCTGGGTTCAATCCCCAGCACTACCAAAAAAAAAAAGAAAGAAAATGAGGCCTCAAAACCTGCAAGACAAGTGCCACACAGAGTCCAGAACAATTCATCAATAAAAATATAGCAGGGGTAAATAAGAATTGACATCTTGGATTAACAAAATAGAGAATGGAAAAAGAAAAATATTAAAGGCTAGGCTTAGTTCAGCAGTAAGAGCAAGAAGAGTAATATGAAAACCTTAAATACTGCCAGGTATGGTGGGATATGCCTGTAATCCTAACTACTGACTAAGCTCTGGCAGAAGGATCACGCAGAAGGATCACTTGACCCAGGAGTTCTGGGCCAGCTTGAGCAACTAGGCGAGACCCCATTTTTGGAAAAATAAAAAAAAAAGGAAGGAAAAGAGAAAAAAAGTTAACACCCTGCTTAGAAATGGGTCACATAAATCATAAAAATACAGTACTAACAAGAAACAGGATGAAATATAACCATTAAAGGAGAATATGGGAGTAACTGAATGGGAAAAGTTTTATTGAATTGCCACTTTGGGCAATTCATGCTCTGGGTTTTTATAATATGAAAAGCTACATGAAAGAATATGATAACCAAGAGCAATATGTTTTTCAGACCACATCACAATTAACCAAGGTTGAATATGACGAAGTACCACGTGAAGCATGTGCCCTTGGGAGTCCAATTGACTGGACAGTTCACCACTGTGGCAGTAATGTTGATATAAAGGACTGTGATGTGGCTAGATTCTTTTAAGATCATTTGAATGCTTACAAAAAAAAAAAAATGACAAGGTCAGGTTCATTAAATCACAGCTCAACTCACAGTCTGAGAAGCTTCCATGATAGCTCTAAAAAGCAGTTTTCTTGTAGCTACAGGGCTGATACCACTGAAACTCATCTACAAAACTTAGTTGTGTGGCTTACTGTATACAAACAACAGCTGAATTCTGTCTCACCAAATCCCTCATGTCCAGGATAGGAAAATGATTGGTAAAGAACAAGATTCTGAAACTTGAAATGGAGACATATGGTTGGACTCAAAAGAAACTGATAATTTCAAACTCCTAAGTCACTGAGTCTCTCCTTCCGGCAGAAAAAGCCTACTCTAGTATCTGTAGAGACTAACCCTCCTCAGTCTGATAGCATCACCTGAGCCAGTGTCTTGACAATAGATGCCCATTCTCCTTAAGATCTGACACTAACATTCCTATTGCCACTAGACCCATAACTAGGGTTAAACCTCAGCAAGTTCCAGGGGACAGATACCTACAAAAGAAAAATTTACATTCCAAGAGAATTATAAAACAGCTAATATGCATCTTTGAAGAAACCTAGGGGGAGTGGCTTCTAAGGGTATTAGACCAAGGGAGGACAGACTACATAACACCAGACAGAGCCAAATTCACTGCCATATGCATACTTCAAACAAATTCTGGAATTAATATGTATATGAAGCTTCTGGGAAGCCCCAATAAGAAACCAGTACAAATACCTAGGATTCAGAAACAAAGGTATGTCCTCTTTTGCAGGTCACAATTCTTTTAAGAAGCAGTTTCTGTCTGTTGCTGGGCTTTGGTAAAAACTAAACATCTAATCATGAGACATTAGGTGATCACGAGGTCTAAGCTTCCTATCATGAACTGGGTATTGTCCCAACTACCTACCCACATAGCTGGAGATAATCAGTCATCAAATGAAAATGGTACATGAAAGACTGAGTTCAGTAAAATCTTAGAAGGTAAAGGTAAGGTGCATGGATTCCTTTAAGACCAACTCTTCTTTTATTGATTTTTGCCTCTTGATTTATGCCTATGGACTCCTAAGGTGTTACTTAAGAAGAGATACCTGAAGAAGAAAATGACTCAAGTCAGCTTTTACTGGTGCATCCATACAATATGGTATTATCTGAAGGTGAACTGCTATAGCATTAGAGGCTCATTCTGGGGCTTTAGTAAGAGCAATGGTGAAGAAAAATCCTCCTAGTAGAACTTCAAATATAATACTTGGTTATCTACCATGTCTGGAGTGAAAGACAGTCAGAAATATGGATTTATACTTACTCATGGACAATTGTCAATGGTTTGGTTAGATGGTCAGGGACTTGGAAGAAACAGGATTGAAGGTTAGCAACAAGTAAGTCTGAGGAAAAGACATGGATGGACCTCTCTCGGCACAGATTGCAGAGATATTTCTTTCTTATGTGAATATCTACCAAAAGGTATCCATCTACTATAGAAGAATCTCTCAATAATAAGATGGACAAAATAATAAACTCTATAGATATCAGTCTGTTCTCCAGCTGATAAAGGGCTTGCTCAATGGACTCATTAGCAAAAAGTAGCCCCAGTGGCAGGGATAGAAGCCAGGCATGGGACCAACATGAACTTCCAATTACCAAGGCTGAACTGGATAACACTATCACTGAGTATTTAACCAGCTGACAGGAGAGACCAGTATGGCACCATCCCCCATGGGCACCAGACTGATGACATGGAACTTCTATCCTGGAAGAAATAGAGATTAGTCCTTACACAAATGGACTCATATTCTGGATATGAATTTGCCTTCCCTTCCTAAAAAAAAGCTTCTGTCAGCACTTTTCATCCACAGTCCCACAGAATGCCTTATCT